CAGGCTAGCTCTCTTTGGCTTTGTATTTAAATCAGCTTGACTGGCAGCTTTATATTGGAAGTCTGTATTCACTCTCTCTAGTTTAATAAAGGTCACAACCAAGTTCACATTACCTCTTATTTCCAAGTGGGCCGAGTTGCACTTTCCCTCCTTTATAGACATGGAAGAAGAAATGATGACTGTTGCATACACATCCTGTTTAATAGTGACCCAGAGGATACCCTGATGGTTAAGCAGGCCCCTCTTTCTCTGAGAAAAGCTTTGTCCTAAACTGTCCGTGCAGTGAGTGTGGATGCCTGTGTTTACAGTCTCTGCTGGCTGAGTGCAGCTGGGCCTCCATCTCTCTGGAAATGCCTGTGAGATTAGATTTCTGATTCCAGCTATCATCCGCTCATATCCTTTAGGCGGGCAGTGCTGACCAGGCAGAGCTCCCTGTTGATGGGTTCCTACTCACATCGATAATCCATCACACAAATCTTTGCTTCCACGATAAAAAGTCCCAAACCACCGTCAATTGACTGTTGCTTTGAAGTTTAGCACAGAAATATAGTATCTCAGCTTTTAAGAATTATCCTCCATGAGTTTGGTTTCTGCATTCAAATTGGTGCTATTAGATTTTTTTTAATAACCATTACATTTATTTCCTTCACTTGGCACTTGCTGGTCTTTTCTCTCCTCAAATTAAATGACCTTTCTGGCCTTTTATGTGAAAGTAACTGAATCTAATTGAACGCAAAAAAGCAGAGAAGAATTCCAGCCTTTGGAGTATGAAACAGTCTCTAAGGGCAGTCCAGCCTGTCCTACTTTTGCATATTTAAAAGTACAATTAGCAACCTCAAGCAACCGAAATGCACAAACAAAACTAGTTGCATTAAGCCACTTTGCCACCTTTTTATTTTCACTTTTCCATCTTTCTCCAAATTTCAAATGTTAGACAAGTTACAATTAACTAAAGCTTCAGTGTGTAACATTCAGGGAGGATCTAAGAGAGAAGGATTGTATTATTGTTTATTGTTGTGTCTCAGTCCCAGGGCATAAAATACACTGCTGGGACGCTGTGAGACTCAACAATCAACTATCCTTCTTGTCTCTGATTGGTTGTTTTCATTCAGGCCTGGTGGATTCTTAAAAAAATTGCCATTAGGAGCACTAGGAGAGCCAGAAGAACCTGATTGTTTCACAGATTATCTGTCTCATGTACTTTGTGTCAGGATATAAGAATGAAGTTTCAGCAAAGTAGGCAAAAAGTTAGTTTTATAAAAGTTACCTACTGCAGCCTTAATTAAGATATTACTAAAAATGTGCTCTACTAAACAGAGATAATCTTTATTAAGAATTCTGTCCATCCATTTTTATACCCTCTGATTCTCTTGAACAGCCATGACTACAGAGAGGCCTGATGTCACTTTATATAATATCCTCAAACTTCCCACAGTGCATGGGGGAACATGTAACATTCATTGACAACATACATCACACACACTCTCTCACACACACACACACACACACACACACACACACACACACAATGTAAATGTTTCAGGAGTGCTCTCCTCCATCAAGTAAAGAACATACACTGTGCATGTAATTGTGATCATGATAGATGGATGATTCTTCATGTCACACACACACACACACAGAGCACACACACACGGACAACACCACAACCGACACATACACCACACACACACACACACACACAGCCTGGTCAGTGCCCATAAATGCTTCACTCACTCTCTTTCTACCAAATGGAATCAGTTAGCCAACCGTCCCGAAACCCTCGTCGTCTTGCCTCTTTCTCTCTTTCTCTCTGTTTCGGTATTTATTAATTTAGCTTAACCCTGTTTTTTCCTGGAAAAGAAGTGAGTGGAAAAGTTCTTAATTTGAAGAGGAGAGCAGAGAGAATTGTGGTGTTTGGGTCCCTGCGGTGGCTGGGTCATCATGGTCAATTGACCTTCTGTCCTGCTGATGCAGAAACAGGCATTCTCTGCACTGCCTGCCTTTACCATGTTCTGCTTTGATGGGGAGGAAGAGAAGAGAGGGGAGAATTAGAAGAGAAGAGAAGAGAGGGGTAAAGAGGAGGAAAAGGAGGAGAGGGGAATAGAAGAGAGAAGAAAGGGAGTGAAAGGAGAGGAGGAGAAGGAGGAAAGGGGAAAAGATAGTAAAGGAGGAGTAGAGAGGAGGAGAAAAAGTAAGGGGGGAGTGGAAGGAGAGGAGAGAAGGAGGAGAAGGATGAGAGGAAGAGAAGAGGGGGAGGCGAGGAGAAAAGAGGAAGAGAAGAGAGGGGAAAAGAGGTGTGATGCAGGATAGACATATCAGGTGAGGAGAGGAGAATAGGAGGAGGAGAGGAGTGGAGCAATGAATGGAGGGAGATGAGACAAGGGCAGATAAAGGAGGAGGAGGAAAGGTAGGCTAAAGAGGATGAAAAGGAGTAGAATGCAAGGAGTGGTGGAAGAGTAGGAGAGGAGAACAGGTGGAGGATAGTGGACAGAAGGAGAGAGCCACTGTATGCCTTTTTCTGTCAGTCTCGTTTGATCTGTTTTCAGACAGATCTGATCGATTCCCACTGTACAGACTGCACCATATTCCCACTGTTCTCCTTCCTAAAACTAAGTTTAGACCAGGAGCAGTAGGAGGGTGGCAACAGGAGGAGGAAGAGGAGCAGTTTTTAATGGAAGTGATGCACTGCTTTTAACCTTGAAGCCTGAAGAGTCCCTGAGTGTTTGGAATGCCAACTGAGCTGTCAGCTCAAACACAACGGCCAGCGCGATGCTGAAAGCTCCTTCACTGCGTGCGTGTGTGTGTGTGTGTGTGTGCTGTATGGTCCCCACATGCTGCTCCTGCATGCTTTATAACCTCTCTTCCTTGTTTTGTGTAATTTAGTCGTATGGTGCTAAGAACTGTTTGTGTATAGACCTGCAGTTGTTGTCTTAGTACTTGTACTTTGTGCAATGACAATAAAGTTGAATCTAATCTTAAAACTGCCTAAAAAAATCATCAGTCAGTGTGTATTTTCTAATTACTGAAATTTCTGTTTCAGTAAGTTCATATACTCTATACTGCTGTTTCCTATATCTCCCTCTTTTTGTCAGCTGCTCCTGTCAGGGTTTGCCACAGCAGATCATTTGCTTCAATCTCTTTCTATCCCCTGTGTCCTCCTCTGTCGCGCCTGCATGTCCTCCCTCGCCTCATCTATAAACCTCCTCTTCGGCCTTCTTCTTTCCTGGCATCTTCTGCATCCTCCTCCCAATATACTCTTCTCTCCTCCGCACACGTCCAATCTCTCCTCCCTCGCTTTGTCTTTGAACTGTCTAACTTGGGCTGTCCCTCTAATGTACTCACTTCTAATCCTGTCTGTCCTCCCAACGAAGGTCTTCAACTCTGCCTCCTCTGGCTTCACCTCCTGTCTTTTTATCAGTGCTACTGCCAAGATTGTTGGTCGCACTACCATCTTGTAAACCTTCCCTTTCACTCTTGCTGGTACCCTTCTGTCACAAATCACTCCTGACACTCCTCTCCACCCATCTATCTTGCCTGCATTCTTCACCTCTCTTATGCACTCCTTTTTACTTTGACCCCAAGTATTTAAACACCTCTACTAGTGCTGTGCACTATACAGTATTTTAAAGCCGGGCTCAGACTACAGGCGTTTTGGGCCAGTATACCATAGATTCACCCCGAGAAATCTGGTCTGTGAATGTGAGTGATCATTCTCCTGAACTGCTCGCAAATCATAACCATACACAGACTACTGAATTGGACCAAAAAAACACAACCCTAACTAATTCTTTTGGTGTTTTTTATCCTTTTTAACACAAACATTTTCTGTGCTGTTTTATAGGTGTTAAGCTTGCTATGTGGCCACAGTCTGGACGCTTTATTGGAGGGGATGGGTTGGTGGCGAAAGCTGCCACTGTATACATCACCTGTGTCCAGATCAGCCAACAGTGAAATTCAACTGCAATAGCCGGGTTTTAACCAGTTTAATATTACTAAGCCTATTCATGTAGAATTCAAATACCTTGCACTAGTTACTCTTTATAATCTTTCTATAAACTCAACTATACTCTAGTTGCCATACATATTGTAGAAAGTCAGGGTTTCAAAATTGTCGGTGAACAAAAAAAACAAAAAGGTTTGGCAGTATGTCAGTTGAATTGCAATGCCCATGGTAACACAAATAAGTTCATAAAAGTAAAAATGTAAAATGCATCAATTACATGAGGTGACCAACCAGAGTGTTTAGAAGAGCAAGCTTTTACGAAGTCGTTGTGTCATACTTTACTGTAGAAACTAATGAAGGCAAATGCAGAAAGTTCCAGAAAGCCTGATTTTGTTGTTTGCAGCTACTAAAAATCTGCTTTGCAAATGATTTGTGAGGAAGGAAATACATTCAACACTAAACTTTAACAGGGCACTCTTAAGGTTTTGTAATGGTTTCACTCACTGTCAAGTCCACACGAGTCCACAATTTTCTTCATATAGACAATTTTGTTTTTAATAAATGTGTCACATTCCTGCAACAAAGCACTGGAAGGGATGTATTATCTGTTTTGTAGCTACATCTTTGATGCCGGTTCTCCATAGTTTTTCAATACCTCAGGCATTCAATAACTTAATTTAATTATTATTTAAATAGTTTTTTCCCTTACTGTACCTTACTATTGTTTGCAGCAACACAATTTCCCTGTACGCACAATCAAACTTTAATCTTTTGTTTTTACAACTCTCATTCATATCCCATGGATACAGAATCGTATGTCTCCTACAGAATATAATTGTGCATTTTTTCAATATTTATGCTTTTATGAATTGTTTATTATATAGCTACTCTACCTTTAATGTAGGTACTAGTCATTTTTAATATTCTAAGAAAACTGCAAGAGGAGCAGGTGATCATCAAAGGAAGGCCAGGCAATTTAGTTATCAGCATTTATGAAGTGTGATTGCCTTGAAAGTGCAGAAGTAATTCTAAAACATATATTTGTTTCTCTTCTCAGTGGTGGTGTTGTACGTGCAAGGCCTGGGGACCAAGGAGTGGAGAGAGGTAGGTGAAACTGTGGTTTTGTTTTTGCAGATGCATGATGCAGAACTCATGAAAGATCAGAAAGTTTGTTTTGCTGAAAGTTCAGTTGGCAACTGACAAAAAGTAAAGTGGTCCTGACAGTTTCCCATAGATGGACTTGCTATCTTTCAAAAAACAGTGAGTACAATCACCTCTTTTTCACAGCAGTGGTCTGCAGCAGAGGTGGCAAAAGTACACACAATATTTACTCAAGTAAAAGTACACATACTCTAGTAAAGGTAAAAGTACTGATTCAACTTCCTTACTCAAGTAAAAGTGCAGTGTACTAAAAGTACAGCCTCTGTCATGTATTTAAAGTATAAAAGTAAAAAGTACTCTCTTAGTTTCTGTGAGGGACATTTCTACCAGCTGTTTCTCCCCCCAAAAATTTTGATGTTGCGCATTTCCCATAATTTGAGACCATCATCATTACAATATTTATTAAAAATCCACACAGAGGTTGTAGTTTTTCACATTGTATATATATAAATTAACTGGAGTAGAATATATTTATATATTTAATATAACTAAATATTGGTTTGAGCAGCTACAGTAAAGGTTACGAAAGCAAAGTCCCTATATATACTCAATATCTCACTGTAAAATCTATAATGTCAGTAAATATTTATCTATATGTCAGTATCAGTCCTTCCTGCTGTCCTTTCAGATTCGTAGCAACCAAACTCCCTGTAGTGGTTATAATGAGGATATGAAGAAAAAGGTTTTAGGCTACAACAATACCTGCCATCAGAACTGTTCATAAACAATAAACAAAGGAGCTAATTAGGCAGGTAAGAAAATATTGATACACTTGAGTATCGCAATAAATATTTGTGGCAGTAGTTTATTTTGTGTTGTGTTTAAACCCCCAGTCTCTAGACAGCAAATGTTACAGGGATTCTGATAAATGAAAATGCATATTTCACTATTTGGATTGCATAAGAAATTAGCTTTTTACTCAGATGTTATGCATATTGTGGTTATCTAGTTTTCCTTTGATTAGATTCAAAATTGCAATATATCGCCTTGCTTATAGTATTGCAATATATCACAATATTTGTAACCCTTGTATGTGTATTGTATCACTAGATTCTTGCCAATACACAATATCAAAATGATCACTTACATATTACAGTATGAACGAAGTAATACACTTGGCTCTTTTGAGAAATGTTTTTTGTGTTTTATTTTATGATTGATTTTAAATTCACAAACTGTTCTTTTAAATGCTTTTGGAGTTTTACTGAGTGTGTGTTGGACAGCAGAAGCAGCAGGAAGATTCTGAAGGCACTGATGAAATGAAACACAGGCACTTAACAAAATTGCAAAAAAAAAAAAATCTTAGGAAACAAAGCCAAGGTTGAAAATAGCAGCAATCCTTTAAAAAGCATTTGTCATTCTCAGCACATTTATAACAACCCCAAATGTAAAAAATGTCCTGTGCTCTCCTCCAGTAAGGTCAGGACTAAAGAGAGTCTAGGCAGGCATGGGGCAAGATGTCCTATGACGGTCAAACTGATCAGAGTGTTTTATGGCAAACAGAAGGTAATAAAAACTAAGCCCTTCTGTGAAGGCTGAGCAGCCAAATATAGGAATTCATAAATTGGAAAATCTTGCGAGATGCTTTGGGAGGTTAGCCCTGGAACACTGTGGTTGTGTAAACATATAGAAAACCTTATATCTCTCCCTCTCCTCTCTGCCTCAGTGTCTCTCACTCTCTGTTTTGCAGTAATTTGTGCTTTGTGCTATCAAAGAAAATCAGCCTCACCTCAGTGGGGATCCAAACACATACACATAGATCTCAGTGAGCCTCAATCAGTCTCACAGGGAGATGACAATTTCAGCAGAGCTGTATACACTCACACACATATACACACACATACACACACACACACACACTATAAAGCGGTGGTCGATTCCCCCATAGAGCAGTATGGATCAGTTTGCAGTTTGCATGTCACTGTGATCTCAGCTATCTGATCCTGACCAGCAGCCAGCGTCACAAATGAACACGGACATTGAGTTGTTTTAAACATGTTGAAGGCCGATTATTCTGCGGCTTCCTGCAGCAGAAGAGAACGAGACAGATAGAGAATGATTTGCTATTTGTCTGAGCTTGAATTTATGTTTTAAAGTATCTGCTTTCGGAAAAATCAGACAAATGTGCAAGATGTACACACACACATGTGCACACAGAACAGAATAATTTGTGAAAAACATAATTTTAATGATGTTATTTTGATCAGACCTTTGTGTCACATGACTTGTGTTGTAGTCAGAGGAAATATTTTTAATCACCAAAATGTTCAGATTTGAATAGGAGATGGAGCTGTCTGTGATAATTGGCTGATACTAATTAGCCCTGTGCTGATGATGAGTCAGTATTGGTAATTAACCAATTATAACTACTTTTGTTGAGTGAATGATTCTCAAAAACATAGATAAATGTTCTGGTTGCATAAACTCAGATTGTAAGCATTCTGTATGATGGTTCTTTATACTATGACAGTTTTGCTTACAGTATCACAATATATCGCAATATATTGGATCGTAACCCCTGTATCATGATACATATTGTATCACCAGATTCGTGCTAATACACAGTCCTAATGATAACCCCTAATATGAACACAGCTGATCAAAGACACGCCGATAGGGGCTCTTTTGTTCACTGTGTTTTTTATTTGGGTTACTGTTAATCTTAAAGTTTATAATTATGAAGGAGTATGGTCTAGACCTGCTGTACATGAAAAGTGCCCTTTTCTGTCATAAAATTGAATTGAATCGTGTTTCCAAAAATAACAAAAGCATGTTTTTTTGATGGAACATAAAATTGTTATGTTCACTTCTTACAAGGCAAAGCCTTTGTTTAACGATTGACAAGTAATGACAGAGAAAACCAATTTCCTTTGAGTGTTTATCTTTATTATCTTTCATGCTCACTCTCTTCTTACAAATAATATATAATAAATGCCAAAATAAAGTATATATTGGCAGATGAATCAGTCATTGTAAAAATAAATCTTGAAATCTGAACAAAAACATTTAAACATCCATCCACCCATTCATACATGGCTGCCTATCCTGTGTAGGGTCATGTAGTAATTTGAAGATAAAGAAAGGCTACGTCATGTTAAAAGCAGGATGTAGTGTCATGAATGCAAAGTAATATACACCAATCAGCCAAAATTATGACCCCCTGGGCACCCTGGTGGTCATAATGTTCTGCAGCCCCATACCAACAAACTGTGATGCACTGTGTGTTCTGACACCTTTCTATCAGAACCAGCATTAA